GCTCTGTGATCTACCACTTGAAGCTTAGGCATTGCTTCCATCCTTGATGAGCTCAACGACAAAGTGGGATCTGTGGAGCTGATGTCGACGCTTGAAGTTCAAACGCAGCAGCTGGAGAGCAAGCAGTTTGAGGTGCTGATGGAGGAGCTTGAGCATGATGTCAAGAGTTGGCAGGTCCACCTCAGGAAGATTTCGGAGTTTGACCTGAGGGTAGTAAGCCAGAAGGATTCCTGGAACTTGCAGCGCCATGCAGCAGCAAAGTCAGCAGCTGCAAGCATCATTGCGCAGAAGGCGAGTGGATGGGGCTTGGGGCAGAAAATGGAAAACAAGTGGTTCAACATGGTTACAGTAACAATCTTTTGTAAAGGCGCCAATTGCTCTCTGGATCAAGTGGTGATTTTGAGGTAGGGATCTATGCGTGGCCAACAAAGTTTGATGCTGGAACAGTGGTAGAGCATCTTCAAATGTTGAGTGCTGATGCTGGAAAGTGGACTCGCAAACTCAAGTGTCAGCATATGGCTGCTTTGCCAAAGTAACTTTTGTTTGATTTTGTGTGAGTATGGGTGACCTTACTTCTTTTGCAATGGTCAACAAAGTAACAGTCTTGAGGCGACACTGTTGGTCCTGAACTATGCGTCACCGAGCATTTTTCGGAATGATGTCATGGCAGCCAATGCCAAAATAGCAGGCCACTTTTGTGCTACAGATTCTGGCCGAGATGTTGCAGGGATGCTCCTCACACCTGTGTTTACTTACCGTCCTGGAACACTCTTCCTGGAGGAACATGCGATTCTAAAGACATTGAACTCCTCCCACATGTCTGTTGACTTGCCAATGCAGCTGATCTTTGATCCAAAATCCAAAACTGTGCCTTGATGTTTGAAGTAGGGAATGACTTTGCCTGATTCTCATTTTTTGTACCCTACTCAGTTTGATTGCTCTGCATTGAGCTGCAAGTAGAATTTCCCAGGATGCCCGTGACAATCGGCCTCTCACCTATGGTGGCAAGATCTTGCAGCCTGGGGCCTTTGTAGTCAAGCCTGCTGATTGGTTTTGGAAGAACAGCTCATTGGTAAAATTCGGGCGCAACCTCACGGATGCCAACCAGCTTGCTGCCAGGGTGGGTTTGTCCCCAAAGTGTTACATGTTCTTGGGGTGATTTGAATCTCTAGTGGAGGGCTTCTTGTGGCGCTGTGCTGGCAGGATATGGTTCAACCTGAAGACTTGGGAAGTCATGGTGGTGCTGCTGCTCCACTGCCCATGACAGACGCTGGCCACATCAAGGGAGCTCTCAAATACAGTCAGATCGGCAAAGAGGCGGCATTGACTTTGTTGAAGGCAATGACGGATTCCAAGAATGAATGATTGCACTGATTTTTAGTTTTGGGTTGACAAATGTCCTCTTTTGTTCAGTGCCTGCTGTTTGATTTTCCAGCAACTAGGAAGGTTTGAGTTGGTCAGCATCGAGCTGCCTCCAGATCATTGACATGACACCACTTGTCTGTGACTTTGGGCTGGCTGCCATCTTGATGAGCTTGAGTATCAATGTTCCTGTCCGATACTGTTGCCTGTGTGAGCAAACGGAGGAGGAATGGATATATGAGCATCTGAGCGCCAACCTTGTCCAGCAACTCTTGTCTGGTGACATGCCATCACCACCTGGTTGTGCCATTCCTGCGCAAGAGCCACCAGCGGAACATCTTGAATCTCGGCCAGAACCTCCACACATGCGGCGGCTTACGTTCATCAAAGCCACTGGGCTGTCATTGTTTATCTTTTTGTTGGCTGGATTGTTTTTGTGAAGGTGATGTCCTATAAATGTCTTTGGTGCCTGATGGTGCAAAGGTTGATGGGGAAGTGGCTGGCATCCAAGTTCCGGACAGTGTTGTGAAGCAGTGGTACAGCCATGGTAGTCATGGCAATGAGTTTCGTGCTTGGCATGACTCCTTTGTGGAAACGTGGCCCAAGCCGACAAAGACTGCAGCAAAAAGGACTGCTGCCTCAGGTGCTGGAGGCCCATTGAAGAAGACAAGGAATGCTGAGACTGAAGCCACACCTGATATGACCAGCCTTGCAGACATGATCCGGGAACATGTGCCTACTGAGACGGAGATTGCTAAGTGCAGCCTGCTGAACCTTCAGAAGGTTGACCTCATTGTGCAAGCAGGTTCAATGTTTGTCCAGAGTGTGGGTGAAGAGAAGGTTCATGGGCATTAAGGTTTCAATTTTTATGTTTGTTGCTGTAGGTTTGTTGTTGCTATCAGTTGTTGTGTGTTGACCAGTGCCTGTTTGAGGTGGTCATTCCAAAAGGGGCAGTACTTGCGGGATTCGGCAAAGGAACTTTCAAGAATGTCCCAATGGGCCAGTCGCTTGAGGAGCATGACGTGGAGTTTCTGTGCAACAGTCCGGACAGCCTGGCAATCATGGATGGGACTGTGCAGTTGCTTTCGCATTTCCTGGATCAGAAACGCCAGGCAGCTCCTGACAAGCAAGCCCTGTGCTACTATGAGACCTCGTATGACATTGCGGAGACCAAATGGACTTTGAAGCAGGTGTGTGGTTGAAATCAAGTGTGCATGGAAGTTAAAAGAAGTATATAGGTTGGTAAAGAAAGTATGTTGGTAACTGCCTGGGTTTGCTGTGTCCAAGGTGCAGCGCATTGTGTTTGTGCCCAATGCTGCTGAGCAAAAGACGGCCCAAACCACCATTGCAAAAGCCTGCCCCTTGAAGTCTTGGTCATCAGCCTGGACTACAGTTGCGTGGCATCTCAAGAGCACAATGAATGGCCTTCAGCCAATTCGCCCGGTGATCATTGCTTCACGTGCTGTGGAGATCCCTGCTGGCCAAGTTTTGCTGATTCAGAACTGAGATCAGGCTGTTGGTTAGCAACAAAAGTCACATGCAAGTCGCTAGTGATGTAGGTTCAAGGAACGGACTGGCCTGGTGGTGAGCATATGTTTTGTCATGTTGTAGGTGAGTAGGTGGCTAGCACTGAGGCTGTTCTTAGTATCTTGCTTGTGGGTTAGGGCTACCACCGAACCAGTCAGTCAATGTGTGACAGCATCGCCAAACCCTTTGGCCTGCGAGTTGTGCCAAACAGATTGTGGCAATGCTGCCTAAACTTAAGCTACTTCTCATTCCCTCCTCTTTCACACAGGTGTTTTTGCTTCTTGGGATTTACTTACTGTGGGCTTGCTTGGTAAGTATCATGGCTTGTGTGTGAGGGGTGACAGTAGCGTAGGCGTAGGCAGCTGGAGAGTTGTGTACTTACATGTGTATTGAAAAGCATATGACGTGGTAGGCAGGCTTGGCATTCTCAACCCATCTTGGACATCACTATCACAGTGATGATTATTGAAAGGTTGAAGACTCCATATATGATTTGACGACAGTGCAAGAACACATGGGCCATCCAGCTTCCACATGTTGTTGAGTTGAACCAGGTTCCATTATTGTTCCTTGCTGGGTGACTGCTTTCTGTTATTCACCGAACCACCATGCCAAGGTGGCTTGCGGTGGCTTCTGCAGGCAGCTTTTCGGGGCTTGGTGGGGTGATGGGTGAGAAGATGGGGTGATGGGTGAGAGGGGATGGTCTGGTGATTGGGGTGATGATGGGATGGCTTCGTGTTTTGCTGGTGACTGCATGGGTCACAGCCCTTATCGTGATGGTGCCAGAATGGTGACAAAGGGGCTGTGATGAGGATGTTTGGTGGAACTTCTGGAGAACGTCCCACATCCAAAGACTGATGCTTGTGGCAAAGCGTGAAGTTCAACAGCCGCCTTCAACGAATGAACCTTGAGCAAAGACTTGTGCAGCGTGGACTTGGGAGTCGAAACTTCACTGGATGTGGCAGTCAGATACCCCAAGTGCAGATGTATGATTGGGTTCGAGGATGACATCAATATCGATTCTTTGATGTCGATGGGATGAAACTGCACTTTACACGTCCCTTCAGAGGCAACGCTTGACTGTCGTGGCTTACACGGTGATGTGATTCGAGGAAGCCACTACAAAACCAGTGGTGGGGCCCATGAGACTGTCCTCTGGATTCTGTGTGCACTATGAACACTGTGTGCTGGGCGATTGTTGATCATGGGTAGATGGCCATTGCACGACTTACCATTGTTGGTATGTGACGAGTGCTATAATGCCACTGGTGACAGCCCGGGAGCTGAAATGCTCACCCGATTTGGAGCAACCTGGGATGATCTGGCCCACGGTCCACTTCCATCGCTGTCAGGAATATGTGCTTCAGAGACATGTCGTCAGCAAGCAGCAAGCACTTCGCCTTTTTCAAGACTGTGATTGCCGGCTTCTTGCATGTTGTCCTGGCTTCAATGTCCCAGTGTTGTTGCTCAGA